TGTGTGTGTAAATGCATTTTTTAAAAGGTCTGTGAGAACAAACACCAAATTAACAGTGTTCACGTGTGTGAGAGGGAACAGTACTGCTGAGAGGGAGTGAAAAGGGACTCTCACATATCATTTTATATACTTCTCTACAGTTTGGATTTTGTCATTAGCATATATTTATTAATTTTTTATAAAATTATTTTTAAATCAATAAAAAATCTTTTGTTTCTTTTATTATTACATAAATAATAAATATTCTTATTGTTGAAGCAATATTATCTAATTATATAGTTATCATTACATAATTTTTATTATATAAGATGTTGATTGCAAAAAATGTTTAAATTGAGATAATAAGGAAATTAAAAGAATAAAAGTTACTCTTAGTAGTTTTAGTATAAAAAGTGGGCATTTCAAATTGGTGAAAAAAATGAATTATTCAACAAATTTCATGGGATAAATGGATAGCCATTTAGAAAAGAATAAAGGTAGAGCCTTACCTCAACCTTACACAAAAATGAATTCCAGGTGGATAAAAGATTCACCGATAAAAAGTGAAATTATGAAAGTACTAGTGGAAACCAAAGGAGAATTTTTTTCAATAATCTCAAATAGGGGAAGGCCTTTCTCGGTTTGATGCAAAACAGAAACCACAAAAGGAAAGGTTGGTCAATTTAACTACAAAAACTTTTTTTCACAATGCAAAAGCTATCGTAAGTATAGTCAAAAAATCAAACAACACATAAGCCAAAAATAATTTAATTCAGATAACAAGCTTATTCCTTTATATATAAAGAGAAATTATACATAATTATATAAAAAGTATATATAACTATATACAAATTAATAAGAAAAAGACCAACAGCCCAAAAGAAAACGGAGCAAAAAAGAGTTCTCATAAAAGGGAATACAAGTGGTTCTTAAGCTTATGAAAAGACACTCAATCTCATTCCTTCTTAAAGGAATGCAAATTAAATCTGCAGTGAAGTGCTATTTTCACCTACAAGACTGGCAAAGATCAGGGATCAATAAGTTGCTAAGAGTGCAAGGAAACTGATGAGGAAAGGCATATTCTTAAACATTGCTGGTTGAAATACAAATTTTGACCCAGCAATTTCACCTCTGGAATTTATTCTATGTGTCTTTGTGCTGCTATAACAAAATACCACAGACTGGGTAATTTACAAACAACAGAAATTTATTTCTCACAGTTCTGGAGGCTGGGAAGTCCAAGATCAAGGTGTCAGTAGGTTTGGTGTCTGCCGAGTGCCCAATCTCTGCTTTTGAGACGACACCTGGAATACTCCATCCTCCAGAGGGGAAGAACACTGTGTTCTCCCATGGCAGGAGGGACATTCCCTAAAGCCCTTTTATAAGGTCCTTAATCCCATCATGACTTCATCACCTCCTAAAGTCCCCACCTCTTAATACCATCATGTTGGCCATTAAGTTTCAACACATGAATTTGGGGGACACATTCAGACCACTGCACTATGGATATACAGTTGACTCTCGTTATTCATGGTAGTGGTAGTTATATTCTGTAAAGTCGCCATGGACAGTGAACCAGCGAATACTGAGCCATTGCTCATAGGGGAAGTACAGTCGTGTATTGCTTAATGACAAGGATACGTTGAGAAATGTATCAGGCAATTTCACCATTGTGCAAACACCATACAATGTCCTTACGCAAACCTAGATGGTATCGCCTACTACACACCTAAGCTACATGGTATAGCCTTTGCAACACGCTACTGTACTGGAGACTATACGCAATGGTAAGTATTTGTGTATCTAAACATAGAAAAGTTACAATAAAAATACAGTATTATGATCTTATGGGACCACTGTCTCATATGCTGTCTGTTGTTGACCAAAACATTGTTTGGCACATAACTGTACAGGTTTCATTTCCTGTGAGCCTCTCAAAGGTTGACATTTTTGTCACCAGTCAATACATGTTTTATATACATTTCGGTTTAAAGACACCTTATTGAATATATATTGTTGATTCATTAACATTGAACTCATGACCAACAGCACTATAACTCATGCTCGATGGAAGATCATCTAATACATGTATTTTTCTCTGTAAGGCATATCACAACTGTCTTGTGCTTAGTTAGGAACACTAGACAGCACTTCAGTACTATGCTTGGGGTCTATTTAAACAGCAAAATCACCAATAAAGAGCACAAAAATGTGAAAAAACGTGTCACTAGACAGACATTGAAAAAGATACTTATTTACAGTAAGAACTGAAACAAGAAGGCAGGCCCTCGCCTTGTTTAGCCTCAGCTGGGAACGTGTGCATCAGACAAGTCAAATTTTTCAACAGTTTGTGCATGTTG